GAACCGCTGTAGAATGCAGCATTATTATGGTTAGCTTTCTCCTCGGTGATCATCCCATGCATTGGTAGCGGTTGAACTGTTGATGTGGGAATGGCCGTGAGGCTGGCCGGTCGTGCACGTCGGTCTCTCCTAGCGTGACGAGCCGGTGCGGCCGTTCCAGCGCGAGAACTGAGCGAGGAGGAGAAGCAGCTACTCATGATGTCGCCCGAGTTCATCGAGTTCTTCACCCGACAAGCGTGCGTGGTGGAGCGCGCACTGTGCGAGGAGTGGAACATCTTCGCCGACTACAGCCGAAACTACGACGACGACGAGGCGCTGTGAGTGCCGTTTGATGATGTCTTGATGCTGCGATTAGTAAGATAAACTCGGGGGACAGAGCACCTGTTACGCTGAGTATATCTTTGTCTGTCGGATGTCAATATTTCCCCGAGTTCTCTGATGTCTAGTCTGTCTTGCCGTCTGAACCGTTGTCGTCTTCTTGCAGGGATGAGAAGTCTGGCATGCGTCTGAGCCTGAACCGGGTGTTTTGCGACGAGCGGTGGTCCAAGAACCGGACCGTGACGTCGATGGACTGGTCGCCGCAGTTCCCCGAGCTGCTGGTCGCCAGGTGGGTCATCCGGTCCGAACTCCGACCGGCCGGCCTCTGTGGGACGTCGTATTCAGGCATCATCCACCGCTGTGGTGCTGCCAGCTGGCAGAGAGGGTCGACAGTCGACACACTGGTCGACCACGCTTTGAATAGTTTCATGTCAACGATTGTGCATAGCGGCTCAGAACATCTCATCGATATTAACAATTAATTTTGCACTCTGACTAACCGTCATGCGCTGCTCGGTGTTGCTTATGTATCGTTGTTTCTGAGATGCCACTTAGAAATGTGTCGAGACATAGATAACATGAATCATGTTATCTATGGTCGAGAATTATAATCGAGTAAACCTTTCATATCCTTCGAATTCACCGCCCTCCCGTCCTCCCCACGCAGCTACAACAACAACGAGGAGGCGCCGCACGACCCGGACGGCGTGTGCCTGGTGTGGAACACAAAGTTCAAAAAGACCACGCCCGAGTACATCTTCCACTGCCAGTCGCCGGTGATGTGCGCCACGTTCGCGCGCTTCCACCCGAACCTGATCGTGGGCGGCACGTACTCGGGCCAGGTGGTGCTCTGGGACAACCGGACGCAGAAGCGCACACCGGTGCAGCGCTCGCCGCTCTCGGCCGCCGCACACACGGTTAGTACCGGTCACCGACGGTGGTGGCAGGGCGGACCGGAGGGATGGCGGAGCGCCGGGTGGCGATCTTTGGTCTCACAGTGGTAGCTGATAGATTTTACCAAAAGTTACGCTGGTTGCCAGACGCCAGTCAAGAAAAGTTTAGAATTGAGATCAATTTTCCTGTCGGTAACCACTGTTTGGTCCTGTTATTTACATGTGCGTGTTTCTGCCAATTGTTTGTTACGAACATTGCTCATGTTCACGCTCTGAAGTCTGAGGTAGTTTTACTGTTTGTTTCCAGCACCCGGTGTACTGTATGCGTGTCGTGGGTACGCAGAACGCACACAATCTCATCTCGGTCTCCACTGACGGCAAGATGTGCTCCTGGAGTCTGGACATGCTCTCACAACCGCAGGTGAGGCATCTGTTTCACTCTCACATTGCGGACTGTCTCGTAGATCGGTGGGAATGTTTAACTGAGGCGTATTATGTTATTTGATGCTGATCACTGATCAGTTTCTACTTAATATGAGCACGTACTTTCGTGTCCCATTACACATGACGCAGCATCCCCAGTATCGGCGCCTAACTTTGTGCCGCGCTCACAGGAGACGATGGAACTGCAGTTCAAGCAGAGCAAGGCGGTGGCCGTGACGGCCCTGGCCTTCCCGCAAGCCGAGGTCAACAACTTCATCCTGGGTAGCGAGGAGGGCAACCTCTACACGGGTGAGCTCGGCTCCATCACCTGAAATCGGATTTTATTTTTAGTTGACCTATCGCTCCTGCTTTCTGAAGTCATGCTCACAGTTCACTATCGTCACCGCCGTGCGGGCGTCTCCAGCGGCTGACGCGGGCCGTGTGTTTCAGCGTGCCGGCACGGTAGTCGCTCGGGCATCCAGGAGGTGTACGAGGGCCACTGGGGGCCGGTGACGGGCGTCAGCGCGCACACGGCGCCCGGGCCGCTCGACTTCTCACACCTCTTCATCAGCTCGTCCATCGACTGGACCGTCAAACTGTGGAACGCCAAGGTACGGCGCCGCGCAACCTGAGCAGAGAGGCGCGGGCACGACACTAAGGGGTTGCTTTTGTGATTGGTATAGGATGCGTGGATATTTATTTAACCTAGCGTCATGAAGCCGAGCTACTTGCATTCTTCACTCGTCAATCCAACAATCATTTGGCACAACTTTGGTGCTTACCTTAGGCTGATTAACCCAACTGACAACCAGCCATGCCATCCCGATCCCCGCGGCCCCCTGACCTCCCACACTCGGCGTCCCGGCAGGATCCGAAGCCGCTCTACTCGTTCGAGGACAACTCGGACTACGTGTACGACGTGGCCTGGTCGCCGCTCCACCCGGCGCTGTTCGCCGCCGTCGACGGCACCGGCCGACTGGACGTGTGGAACATCAACTCGGAGACGGAGGTGCCGGCGGCCAGCGCGCAGGTCGAGGGCGGTCCGGCGCTCAACCGGGTCTCGTGGACGCCGTCCGGACTGCACATCACGGCCGGCGACGACCGCGGCCGCGTCTGGGTGTACGACGTGGGCGAGCAGCTGGCCCAGCCGCGCCAGGACGAGTGGACACGGCTGGCGCACACGCTACAGGAGATGAAGTCTAACAACGCTGAGGACGAGTACGACCGGGCCAGCCTGGGCACGCCCAGCCGCTGAGCGCCCGGCCGACTGCCCGGGAGCCGAGCAGGAACGGAGAGGGGCGGCCGCCGCAGCTGGCACACAGATCGGGGATGCGTTTTTACGGTCTGAAAACTTTGATATTGTTTGTATTCAATGGAGAACGTCATAGACGTTATGTTGCATTTTAGGACTTCCATTAATCGTATCTTCAGTGCGTTACCAATCCGTTTGGTGGAAAATTGTCTGGGTGTGTGCGTCAAGTGCCAACTGTGTGAGCGCCTTCCCGGCCGTGCCGTGGCGGCGGGGAGGCGCGGGCGGCCGCCAGTCACGGGGCGGCGCAGTTGTGATGCAGGCCGAGCGCCGCGCGGCGCCGTATTTTTCTAGGCTGGACCTGCGGAGGCCGGCGGCGGACCGACTGAGATGGTGCTATCGTGGCGGCGGATCGGGCTTGTTAAGTTTTCTGATGAGTTTATTTATTTGCGGCGCGAGTCACCGCAGCTGGGTCGCCGAGCTGTAGGTATTACCGGTATAGTTTGCCGACTGACCGATCTGGGATCATGCTTTAACTACTGACACCTCCCTGTGCAGCTATGTACAGGGTGGGGCAGCATAATCGGGAATGCTTTTTGGGCTCTGGTCATGAGTAGGCATGGCATTATTTTGATAAATTATATCATGGCAATGAAACGCCCAAAAGTTGTGCATCATCTGACAGGACTACATCCATGAGCATGCAACTTCCTGGAAAAGAGCAGCAAAATAGTTCGACGGTGCTCCAAGTGCTTTGCGCGCGCCCATAGACACTAATGTTAAACGAGTAAAACAAGAACATTTTGTTTAAAACAATGCCATTCCACGTAAAGGTTGCTGGACAGGTCAACGTGTTATCACGGACGATAAGGATTGTGTGGGGATACTTAGGACAAAAAGTTAACGTAATCGTCGTAAAATAACTCTTAGCAGAGGACATACAAGATGACTCACTTGAATATAAGGAAGAAGCTCTTGAGCATATAAAAAGAAACAATGTTCAAAACTTCAGCGACCAAAAATCTTATCACCGACTGGAATACGATAAAAAAGAATGGCATGCCATATGGGGGATTGTATCGAGAATATTGCAGCGGTCATGCAAAGTAAACATCCTGTTGAGGTGATGGACCTATGGGTGGTCTTCAAGGGAGGTGCACGTGGTGCACCCTACTTCATCGAGCCCGGATAAAACGAGCACCTCTGGTAAATACATCCACACTCTGGCAGACACACGTGGAGTCGTCGGAAGAGAGGATCACTGACGGTCCAGATCACGTCTTACGAGGACTCTGTCCGTGCTGGTACTGCAGTGAGGACGACATGTTATTGTGTAGGGCACCTCCACCTGAGATGAACCAAAAACTTCTGGTCCTTCAACTCCGCCGATTTAAATCCGACCAAATTCTTTATATGGAGCGTTTTTTGGTAGAAGTTTAATGAACAACTTATCATCAGTAAAAACGGTCTTCAGTGCAAGGTACGAAGCTGATGGGCGATCATGGACAAGCAGGAGGTTGCACGTGCATGCGCGTGCTTTTGGACCCGCCTTGAGAAGGTCATCGACGCGAAGGGCGGTCAAATAGGATGAGGGATAGGTAAAAGGTGACCGATTGATGGGATGTTGTTAAAATAGTGCTTGGAGCTATATTTTTAAATTAATGACCAAATAATCCCGTTTGATATTTATTCCCGATTATGCTGCCCCACCCTGTAGTAGCGCTTTAGCCGGGGCCCGAGGGTCGCGGCTGCCGGCGGCGGCGGGTCAGTGACCGCCCGCCGGCGCATTCCAGCCGCGTGGACGGACACGACGGCGGCTTGTGATGGATGATCTGTGGATGATGAATGCATTATACATATATAATATACGTATATTAACTGTCCACCAAGTTTACCAAGGTGACAGCGGGCGGTATGGAAGCTACGGAGGAGGTTGTCCCTGTATTGCATGGCATACTACATACAGAGACCGCTTGCTCGACAGGTTATGTAAGGTCAGTGGGCACAAAATAACCACTGCATTCGACGCGCCCTTAAGTCCTAGTAAACTATAAGGTCAGTGAGGTGCCGATATTTGTGAGGGGAGGGATTCTTTGCCTTCCATCAACAACGCGAGCCAAGTGCCAAATACCGGGTGTATTCGATCCCGATCACAAATCACAGCACCAGCACAGCAGCCCGTTCCCCTGCCATTCGTAACGCTACTAAGACATCGCCCGGTAGGACGTTACAGACAAACGTGTAGACAGACAGACAGACCTCACACGTCCTGAGTGCCACCACCGGCAGTGGAACAAAGCCATCAGAGCGGGACAATATAGGCTGGATTAACAAGTTGATAAGCAGCTTGCGCAATAATGACGCGGTTACAATGTCTGAGAATCACACACCAAGCTTTGCACGTAACTCGACCATACCGCATAGTAAGAATGAGATGATAGGTAGGATTAAAACCAGTAACCTCTGAACAACAGATAATATTTTGCTGGTCGAGAACCGAGGCTTCACGTTTAGTTGATAATTTCCATTAACTTATCAATCGTAACACTTAAAACGAATCGGTCCATAGCCATGATAGCGGATAACCCCCTTCCTCCTTCATATCACGGGCACAACGAACAGTTCATGCGAACACTCTACGGTGCCGTATCACGCTCGCCACCCGGCGGCCACTGTCTCTGTCCTGTGGTCGCACACCGCTCGGCCGGACCGCCACCCGCCTCCCTAGCCCTGGGCGAGCAGCATCTCCACGCGCCTGTCGACCGTGCTGAGCCAGCCGTGCAGCGGCCGGGCCAGCCGGTGGCCGCGCCGCAGTCGGCTGACGGCGGCGCGCAGCCAGCAGAGCGCCGCGCCGCGCCCGTCGGCCGGCGCCCACTGCAGGCCAGCCAGCCGCGCGGCCACCAGGTCGCACCAGGCGGACGGCGAGTCGGGCCGCCACAGCACGGCGCGCTGGGCGGAGCGCAGCGCTCCCGACACGTCCCCGGCCTGCAGCTGTGCCTGACACACCAGGTCCAACACCGCCTGACGGTGGGGGGGGGGGGGGGCGGGTCAGTGGCACAGCACACCATCTGACGGGGGGGGGGGAGCACACCATCTGACGGGGGGGGGGTCAGTGACACAGCACACCATCTGATGGGGGGGGGGGGGGTCAGTGGCACACCACACCGACTGACGGGGGGGGGGGGGTCAGTGGCACAGCACACCATCTGACGGGGGGGTCAGTGGCACAGCACACCATCTGCCGGGTGGGGGTGGGGGGTCAGTGACACAGCACACCATCTGACGGTGGGGGGGGGGGGGGGGTCAGTGACACAGCACACCGACTGACGAGGTGGGGGTGGGGGGTCAGTAAGAAATTACACCGCCTGACAGGTTAAGGGCCCGGGAAACACCCGACCATCTGACGGAGAGGCACAGGGGTCGGTGACACAAGGCACGACACCACAGACGCTGGTGGCAAGCACGTCAAAAACACCACTCTCGTTTTATCCGATGTTAATGACCAGACAATGACATCACCGAAAACAAGATTCGGCAGTAGCACACAATTCCAACCAGACTTGACACCGACTGACTTAGCGACTATCACCTGTCCGCGCGTCCCTCTCTCCGGGACTGACTAACTCACCTGGTCCCTCTCTGCGCCAGCGGCTGCCACCCGCCGGGCAGCGGTGGCGGCCGTGACGGCAGCGCCGGCCGCCGGCCGCAGCTGCAGCAGCGCCGCCGCTAACAGGCGCCACAGGCCGCCCTGCTGCGGGTGGCGGTGCACCGCCGCCTGGACGGCGCGCACGGCGCCGGTCGAGTCGTCGCGCGCCAGCCGCAGGCACGCCTCTAGCAGCGCCCGCTCAGCGGCCAGCTCCGGCTGGGTGCGCCGCTGCGCCAGCTCGCTCTCGCAGGCCAGCGCCAGCGCCGAGTCGCCCTGGCGCAGCGCCAGAGCCGTCAGCGCCAGCAGGCCCTGCTCCGAGGCCGGCTCCAGCTGGAAGCTCTTGAGCAGCTCGGTGCGCGCCTCGCTGACCCGGTCGAAGCGGTACAGCAGCTGCGCCACGGCCACCAGCGTGTGTGACTTGTTGGCGTCGTCGGGCGAGAGCCAGTGCAGCGCCGCCTCGTAGGCCGAGTACGCTTCCTCATCGTGTCCGGCGCGCTGCAGCGCCAGCGCCAGGCCGCACTGCGAGTGGAAGCTGGCCTCGTGCAGCCGGCGGTACTCGGCCACCGCCTCGTCGTAGCGGCCGGCGGCGGTCAGCAGGCGCGCGCTGTTGGTGCGCGCTGCGTCCACGGCCGCCCAGTCGGGCTCGTCCGCACCCGCCAGCAGTTCGGCGGCGCGCTGGTAGGCGTGCAGGGCGGCGCCGTGCCGGCCCTGCCGCTCCGCCAGCAGACCGAGCATGTTCCAGCCGGCCGCGTCGTCCGGCGCGCCGGTCGTGTACAGCTCGAGCGCCTCGCCGGCCACAGTGACCGCCTGCATGCGCTCGATGTTGAACCGGTACTGGGCCGTGTGCCAGACGGAGGGGTCGCGCAGGGCGCGGCACACCCAGCGGCCGTAGCCGAGCGCGGCCGGCGCCAGCGGCTGCAGGTGCACGGCGTGTCGGAACAGGTCGGTGGCCTGCTCAGGCGACAGCTGCTCGGCGATCAGCGCCTGGCCCGTCCAGGCGGCGCCGTACGCCGGCTCGACGCTCTGCGCTTTGGTGAGCGCCTCGTTGGCCAGCTTCAGCTGACCGTTTACCATGTACAGACAGGCCAGGTTGGTCCAGCCCATGGCCGTCTCCCGCAAGCGCAGCGACTTGATGAAGGCGTGCTGCGCCAGCCGGCGGTCCTCCACCGGCCTCTCGCACGCAATCACTCCGAGTGTGTTCCAGATGGCGGCGTCGCCGGGCAACAGGCCAGTCGCCTTGTGAGCACACTGGAGTGCGCGGCGCAGCGCCACCGCCGCCTGCTCCGACTCGCCGGCGGCATACAGGCCCGCCCGGAGCCGGTAGCTGAGCGCCAGGTCGTGCCACAGACCGCCCAGATTCTCGATGGCCACTGCCTGTGAGTAGCAGCGGATGGCCACGTCGACCAGCAGCGGGCCGGCGAGCGGGCCGCACGCTCCGCCGTCAGCCGGCGGACACGGCAGCAGCTGAGCGGCCACCTGTAGGCGCCGGTAGCGCGGCGGCAGGCCCGCCGTCATGCATAGCACGTCGCCGAGCTGCTTCCACAGACAACTGAGTCGGCTCTGGTCGAGCACGGCGGCGGTTAGCGTGTCGGCTGCCAGCTGGCAGCTGTCCCGGGCGAGCCCGTGCAGCTGGCGGGACACCAGCTGCTGCGCTCGCCGCAGGTGCGTCTCGCCGAGCCCCTTCAGAGCGGGCACGAAGCCGGGCCGAGCGGCGAGCGTCTGCTGGTAGCCGGCCTCTGCCTCGTCCAGTTGTCCGAGCAGCTGCCGGATGTCGGCCATCTGCAGCTGCGCGTACACGGGCTGCTCGCTGAGCGCCGCCGACCGGCTGTACGCCTGCACCGCCGAGGTGTACGCGCCGCGCAGCCGGTACGCGTCGCCCAGGCACTCGAGCGCCACGGCGTCGTCGGGCGCCGCCTTGACGGCCGTCTGCAGGCAGACGACGGCGCGCTGCGGCTCGCCCGCCTGCAGGTGGTGCAGGCCCAGCCGGAACCAGGCCCAGCGGCTGACGGACGCGTCGGGACGGCTCTCGGTGACGGCCGTCAGCAGGCGCACGTTCTGCTCGTGCTCGCCGCGCGCCCGGTACAGGTCGCTGAGCGCAGCGCTGCAGCGCGGCTCGCCAGGGTTCAGGCGGCACGCCTTCTGGTAGCAGCGCAGCGCGCGAGTCTGGTCAGAGCGCTCCTGGTAGTACTGGCCCAGGTAGTAAAACGGCTCTGGGTGGTTCGGGTCCAGTTTGGCTGCCTCCAGGAAACGCGCAGCGCTCTCCTCGCGCCGTCCAGCGGCCCAGAGCGCCGCAGCCAGCTGCCGGAGCCTGCGCGGCGAGTGCTCACCTGTGCCGTCCAGCAGTGCCACCGCCTCATCCGCCCGTCGCTCGGCCACCAGCCACGCCGCGCGCACCTCCAGCGGCGCGGTGACCGCCTCCACCTCGGTCAGAGCTCCCCGTCGCAGCCGGGCCTCGGCCAGCAGCGCGTCTCTCTCCGGCGAGCCAGCGGCCTCTGCGAGCAGTGCCTCGGCCTCGGCGGCGCGGTCGGCGCCCTGTCGCACCAGCGCCTCCGCCAGCTGCAGCCGGAGACGGCCGCTTGCCGCCGCCGACGAGCGGCGCAGCGCCTCCCGGAGAGTGCGCTCGGCTGCCGGGTAGCCGTGCACGAGCAGCTCGATACCGCCGCGGAGCGCCAGCACGGCAGCCGTCTCTCCGGCGGCACCCAGCGCGGCCGGCACAAGCTGCCCTAGCGCCGCCAGCCAGTCACCAGACTGCGCCAGCAGCTTACCACGGCAGGCACGGGCCCACACGTTGTCCGGTTCCTGGGCGTTCATGAAAGCAAGACGATCTTCCAGATCGGAGACATTCTCATCTGATAGTACAAACACACGCAGGAGCCACTCGATGGCCACCACGCTGTCTGGAAATAGAGTGCACATATGCTGTGCACATTCTTGCATCTCTTTCCAATCTTTGAGCTGATGCAGTAATTGCACTCGGAAGGCAATAAACTCTTTGTTTTTGCTCGATGCATCCTCTGTTATCAATGGAGATAACAGCTTGCTAACCCTGTCAGCCTGAGAGTCTGAAACTGTCTTCTCTTTCAAGATCGAGGTGATTCGGGATGGATCAAAGTTGCTTCCACTAGCATCCTTCCATTGATATAATATATCAATGCATTCATCATATTTATCAGCGTGGACCAGTATCCAAGACAGCTTGGAACATATTTCAGCTGTCTTCGCTTTGTCACTGGAAAGAAGATTTAACAGCCTCATATATATTTCAGTGAGACTCTCTTGATGTTTTGTAGAACCCGATTTTTCATAAAATGACCCCAGTCCCTGCCAAGCTAGTGGCAGCTCTGGTGATACTTTGGTGGCAGCCTGAAAAGCCTCTACTGTTTTTTCAGCATCACCCAGTTCTTGGTAGCAAGCACCACTGAATACAAGAGCCATATAGTTGTTCTTGTCCCCAGCTAACACTTCTTTGCACTTCTCTAGGGCACCTCCATGGTCTTTTCCCTTAATCAATTCTTTTGCAGACTTCAGCAGGGCTTTTGTGTGCTTGTCCATTTCAGCTAGCTGTTGAGCTGATGCTTGTTTACTACTTACAGCCAGACCTGAATGAAATGAAAAAAGTACTAGTGAAGGGATATTCTCAGCATTTCCCAACATCAACATAGGGGTCTGGACAAGCACAAAAAGGGATAGCTTGGTCTTTAAATGGAATACACCACTTTCCTCAATTTATCATTCTTTGCTACAGTTTCATGATATTTCATGCTTGAAATGAACAGGAATGAAAATGATGAATATAGAGGATCTCAAAAATATATTTTTATTTATCTAGAAAGGTAGAAATCATTGCAGCTTGCCTTTCCCTTTATCATACAAATATTTTATATGCTCTGCATGTATCTTCAAAACGCAAACCTGATGAGAAAAGAACAGTGCGAAAAATATCAATATGGACTGTGGTCCAGAGCAGTCCAGATGCTTTTTTATGGTGATTGAGGGTGACTGGCAACACTTTGTTTGGCATATGGGTTAATTTTCTATCTTTGGTGGAGGTTAGAATGGCTAGATGTTTGCAGAATCAGCATGGCCTTGGGATCAGCTAATTATGCATTGACCATGGCTATGTAAACTGCATTGACCAACTGTGGGCCTGTTCCAGCCATGAACCAATATTACTTTACTACTTGTTCTGGTGCCTCCAGTGGAAATTCTTGACTGGAGGCTCTACCAGAGGTTTCACTGGAGGTGCAGGAATGCAATCTGGAGATTTCTGGAGGTTAGTGTCAGGGATACCAATCATCAAAAGAAAAGAATGGCGATGGTTCAGTCTTGAAAAACGAAATTTGTGTTAGATTTTAGTAAAAAAGATTAAATAATTATAAAAATGTAATTTCCTTTACCTTGATTTGTAAAATTAAAGGGACTATCCCAATTCCCACCTTTACACTAGGTTTGAGTTGAGATAGCCAAGTTTGCGGCGAGGTTCAGAAACCACTTTCTATCTTGGTCGCAACCCCCGCAGCCTCATGGTGTTGAAGAAATTTGTTCCCTTCATTTGAAAATGTTCCCTGCGCAAGTCCCAATCTCTTAACCATTAACGGCAATCTGATGACGTCATTTGCCTTTTGAACGCCTGTCACACATTCAAGTGAAGTATCACTTGATTTACGAATAAGCCAATCAGAGACACTCTTGTTATTGCATGAGCTGCGTCATATTTAAGAGAAAATATATTTGCTGCCAAATTTCCCCTCACATTGACATGAAGTAAATCCTTCATTACGTCACAGATTCGATATAAATGACGTCACGATGAAATAGGAGTCGCAATATCTCAAAAAGTATCAGATGAAAACGCGTAAAAACTAACAAAATTAGTCAAAATATCATGAGTAGGTAACATTTCCAAATCCTAAACGGTACTTTTTTGAAGGTGGGATAGTCCCTTTAATGGCCAAAGCTCCTTTGTTCACATTCACAATTGTCACATGTGTACCATTGTAGTTCAGAGCCTCCAGTGAACCTCCAGAGAAATGGGTATTTATTTACTTTAGGACCGGCAGCCATTACTTTCGTCACGAACCCCAAGTGATAGTAAGAAGCATATCGCATGACATAATTTGACCTTTTGATTTCATAGCTGATAGTCATTCATGGCACAAACAAGTTAAAATGCACCAATACAATATTTACCGTCACCGCCGTAGATCCCACCGACTGCGTACTCCGCCGGCCACGCACTGCGCTCCAAGGTTTAGTGAATACATATTAACGATGCTATTCAACTGTGAGGAAAGTGACGTCATGAAATTTCTCGTCGCGAAGCAGCGGCAGTGCCGAAGGCAATGCCTTAGGAGAGATTACAGGCAATGGTAGGTCAAATATTTTTAGGTTAAGTGGTTGTGTATTTGGCTTCAGGCCGAAGGCCTGAAGCCTAATCGGCCTGAAGCCTAATGCACAATCACTTAACCTAAAAATATTTGACCTACCATTGCTTGCAATCTATTCATGCGAGCAACTTTTTCCTTATCCCCGGGTAGGCAAATATCAGTAGGTCAGGTTAGGTAAGGTTAGGTTATGTTCTGATAATTTTTTCCGTGTTTAATTTGCTATCCTGCCCCATATCACCCAATTTTTAACCATCTAAATTTCGCCAATATGTATTTTTTTTGGTATTATGACGTCATTTTCATTGAATTTAACATGCATATATTTTTCCTTTTCGCAAATGGCAACGGCGCAAACACGTTGTTTATGGGCCTGTTCCAGCGCCTCCAGTAGAAATTCTTGACTGGAGGCTCTACCAGAGGTTTCACTGGAGGCGCTGGAACGCAATCTGGAGATTTCTGGAGATTGGCATCACAGATACCCAGCATCTGCGATGCTGGGCTCCGCATCGCGGGACCGCAGGTTGTTTGAGCAAGCACCTCTGTAACGCCGCTAAAGGTGTGCCGAATTTGAATGCAATCAGCCCAGCCGTTTCTGAGATCTGAAAGCCTCACCCTGCACGTGCGCACGTGCAAGCTGGGTCCCAAATGACTTGTGGACGGCACCCTAGTTGCCGGTCTCTAGCGGTGTACCGAATTTATGCTCAATCGGCCCAGCCGTTTTCAAGATCTGGAAGCGACCCCTACACGTGCGCACGTGCAGTTGCACCCCAACCGAGACACATGAGTATACATACTAACTGACTTGTGCACAGCACCCTACTAACCGGTCTCTAAAGGTATGCCGAATTTGAATGCAATCGGCCCAGCCGTTCCTGAGATCTGGAAGCGTCACCCTGCACGTGCGCACGTGCAACCTGGGGCCCAGCAGACCTGTGCAAGACACCCTACTACGCGATCTCTAGCGGTGTGCCAAATCTGAGCACAATTGGCCCGGCCGTTCTCGAGATCTGGAAGCGTCACCCTGCACGTGCGCACGTGCAGTTGCACCCCAATCGTGGCACATGGAAATACATACTAAATGACTGCAACCTACTGATCGGTATCAATCGTTATGCCAAATTTGAACACAATCGGTCCAGTCGTTCTCGAGATCTGGAAGCGTCACCCTGCACGTGCGCACGTGCAGTTGCACCCCTACCAAGACACATGGAAATGCATCGCCTGGAAAGTGTCTACCTCCATGCCAAGTTTTAGCGCAATCGGCTCAGTAATTACCGCGAGCTATTGCGCTTATTACAAAACAGGCACCTCTTGGCTTTGCACGTGGAACGTGCGTTAGGGGTCACCCATATGCATCGAGAGTAGCACACTATGTGAAAGAAGGGAAAAAGCTACCCCACAGAAAAAACCGCACGTGTATCAGCCCAGTGGTTGCCGAGATATAAGTCGTACAAAAACGTCCCCACGGCGGCCGGCCGCTATTTAGCAGTAAAATCGTGTCGCATCCTTCTATGGGAGGTATCCCCGTCACCTGTTCGTATACTGTCTGAGCAAAGGCCATACGTTACGGTCCAAACTCCATAGTGAGGCGGACATACGAATTTACGAGAGTTTAGCGACGAAATGATTCACTTAATTGTTAAGTAATGGGTACCATTAGGTAGACCATAAATTTTATCTAGCATCTCACCGTAGATGCAGTAAAAAGTGCTTTACTTTTCAATGTATATAAAGACTTGCTCAGCTCAATCAGTTCACTCTGTATTGGCTCAAGCCGTATCATGCGAACGCAATACAAACTAGAGCACCGACAGCGCAGCGCTCCCCAACTCACTGCTCGCCCAGTCCACCCGGGCCGCCGCCACGACGGCCCCCCGCAAGTAGGCATCCCGCACTGCACCGACAGCCGCGGGCGACCAGCTGACCGGCCAGCTGACCGGCCAGCAGCCGGCGGGCGGCAAGCCGCGGATGGCCGACCCGCCGGCGCGGCGAGGGAGGGGAGGGACGCAGCTGAAAGACCCGACTACATATATATCAAAGAAACATTATATGTAATCATCGATGACGCGACATAAATCTACTTTATTGGGGTTAGCGGTGTAGTCTGTGATGCCATCACAATGAAAATAGCCTAGTTTTGTAGAGCATCAAATTCTGATTCCATAACGACTCTCGCTAGTCCATTTTCAATTGTAAATAAGCCTTTTATTGCGATGCAAAGTCCCGAAATGGTGCCGACGGCGGCCGGTCCCCCGATGGTACCATACCATAGATGGTAAACAGGTTAGTTCACATTCCCGCCGCTATGCGGGCGGCGGCGGCGCCACCTGTCCTCGTGTCCGCCTGACACTGTAACGATATAGGTCTGAGCTCAAATCTCGGTAATGTCGTGCTTTTTTACTATATTTCTCAAAAACGGCACCACGTGCAATAAAGTTGTATATATCATTGGAAAGAGCATCAAAAGTTGTATCAAATATCAACTTTTGACTTAAACATATCTTTAACGTAAAAAGTTATAAAGCACCAAAGACGCTCCCATTGACTTTCCATGTTAAAATTTTTCATTTTTAAACGAGCTTAAAAAGAACAAACGAATTCTGACAGCTTAACGAAGCATAACAACATATTCTATGGTCTTTTCTCAACAAGTCCTGAAAGTTTAAACAAAATCGTATCATATAATTTTGTACAATGAGCGAATGAAAATGCCTCTGCAAAAACGCCCATTGACTTAACATGGGGAGCGAAAAAAGTTCAACTTCAAACACGTGCAACTCAAGTTAACGAATTCTGACGGGTATACGGCGCACACTGGCGTGTAGCAGAACGTGTTTGCCATAAAATGCTGGGAAGAAAACCACCTCCTTCTTGGCTCGTTTTCCCGCCATTGGCGATCGCGCAAAAAGTGTCCAAAACCCCGTTGACTTAACATGGGGAAAATGCAATTGCACGTGGCACGCGCAATGATTTTTGTTGCGAGTAGCGACCGGTACCATCAGGTAGATCACCTGCAAAAGTCTATACCCTGAAATTTTTACGATCCTAAACGCAAAACTCTAGGCTGCGACCAAGTTGCCCCAATCTCAGGCCAACTTTGCAAAACATACCCCGGAGAACGACCGCTCCGGTTGTTTTTCAATAGAAAAACACAATTCTAACGAATAGTGTTTGTCTTTTCAAACAACCTGCGGTTAGGGCGGCAAGCCGCG